TGCGTGCGGGAGCTCGCCCAGCTTCTCCCATTCCGAGTCGCTCTCCTCGCTGTTGGCGTTGCCCTTCGGCATGTGGATATGGAATGCTCTGAAAACCCTTCTCGTACTCGAGCCCACATGGCGACGGGCACGAGGATGGGCCCAGGCTTCGAGATAACATCACTGCGCCCTGTAAGTTTGATCGCATGGCCGTTTGACTCGGTAGGGTCCTCGATCGCACTGCCGTTTGACTCGGTATCGTGCTCGCTCGTGCCGAGGTCGCTCTCAGTGTCTGTGTCGATGTGCTCGAACGGGTGCTCGCTTTAGTCGGCATCGGTCGGGATGTACTCGCTCCTGTCGGCGTGCTCGGGAGGGCGCTCGCTTTGGTCAGCATCGGTCGTGACGTACTCGCTCCTGGTCGGTGATGGAGATGATGGCGGTGATGAGTCCGATGCGTCGCCCGTCGAGGTGACCGTAGCAGCCAGGGCGATGGCAGAGGCTGATGGCGGACTTTCTGCTCCCTCGGGGACGTTGGCACTGCCACCCGGCTCCGCGCTCTCCGGGCGCAGTCGCTGCCCCTAGAGGAGAGGCAGGCCCCAGTGGCCGATGCGCAGGGGCTCGAGCCTCTCACGGTGACCGTCCGAAAACTCCAGGTAGCCGTCGTGCGTCCCGTTCGCCTCTGCCTCCTTCAGGTAGTCCAGGGACAGCAGCATCGGGCTCTCCGAGTGCACGAGCGAGAACCAGAGCTTGCATCCTTGGTCTCGCAGTCCCAACGGATGATGGATCCCTCCTCTCCCGACGCCCATGCCCGTCGCATTGCTGGCGTAGGTGAAGCGAGACCGCTCCCTCGTGTTCATCTCCGCCAGGTCCTGGCCGCGCGCTTCGTAGATCTGAACACGAAAAGGGCCAGCCACCTCATGGACTTGGCAGCTCCACTGTCCACGACCGCGAAGCCTCGGAGGTCGGCCTCGGCGAAGACGCTGAGGCCAAGCGCGGTGTTCGGACAGATGGCCAGGACCCACTTGTCGCCACTCTCCCAGTAGGACGCGCAGGAGACGGCGGCTTCGTCCACGGCCTCGTCGTCCGCCTCCTCGTAGCCGATGTTCATGTTCCCGTTGCCGTTGCCCCCAGTCTGGAATCTGGAGGGGCAGCCCACAGCTTTGTGTCCCTGCTGCCGGCAGAGGAGGCACCTCATGCCAGCGCCGCGGCCCTGCTGTGGTCGTCCTGGTCGATCGCGCGCCTGGCCAGCTGGGGCTCTCGGGGGAGATGGCGCACCCTTGTCGCCGCGGCCTCAGCCCTCGGGCCCCCCCCCGCGCGCCCTTGCCCGCGCCCTTCCGGTCCGGAGGCAGCGCGGCCAGGCCCACGACCGGGTAGTAGCCACGGGCCCTAGAGACGTCGCTGAGCAGCTTCCTGGCCTGCTCCCGGGCGCGGGTCGCTGCATCCGCCTCCTGCGCGGCCGGGGCTTCGTGCTCCTCCAGCGCCGCGGCGTACTCTTCGTCAGCCTGCGCGCATTCGTCCGGCGGCTGCTCGTGGTCGGCCCCCTGCTCGTCGTAGGTCTGCCAGTGGGCCTCATCCGCGCAGTGGGCCGCGCGGTGGTTGTCCTGCTTCGTCTTCTTGTCTCGCACGGCCAGGTCGTTCTCAGCCCACGCGTCCGGCAGGCGTCTCCTCACATTCTCGAGCTCCCAGTCCACCTTGATGGCGCCGCTCACCACGGCTCTCTCCGAGGGATCGAGCTTGCCGTTGCGCCAGAGGAGGACGCCCCGCACGGCACTGGGCAAGATATCTCCCGCGTCAGGCACCAGCAGCTTGTATGCCCGCTGTAGTTGGTCGTAGGCTTCCTCCTCCGTCTCGATCCACTGCGCCACGCTCTGCCCCAGACGCCGTGTCAGTGCACTCCGACCCGGGCATGCGTAGAAGTACGCGTCTGTCTTCTCGCCGAATATGTCGGACACCACTTGCGTTCCCAACTCCCTCCTGAAAGCCTCAATCAGGTTGTTGGGGCCGCCCACTGTGGCAATCGACTTCGGCTCGAGCGGGGCTCCGTCCACGTCGAGGTCAGCTTCCCGAGGCAGTCGAAGGGCGAAGCGCTGATGGGCAGACCCCTGCGGCAGTGCGGCCACTAGCCTGGGCCCCAGCAGTGGCCTCACCTCCCTGGAGGAGCCCAGCGTCAGCAGCTCCACCTCAATGGCGTAGTCCTCCAACGTCTCGGCCTTTCCGTTCCACGTCGGGGTGGCCATGTCCGCGCGCAGCGCGGGGGCTCCGGAGGATCCTGCCATTGCGCGCCAAGCCGCAACTCTCGGAGCCACGGTTCCGCTACCAATGTCAGTGCAGATGTGATGTCTGTACTCTCTTGCTCACCGGTCACGGCGACGCACTATGTTCACACAGTCCCCTAGCTACGACCGTAGCATGCTCCAAAATGGCTGCATATATAGCGCTGTGCGCAACAGGCAAACATAGCAAAGACGAGACCAACTCTCTACACTCTCTGCGCGCCTATCGTGTCTTACATGATTCACATGGTGGGCCGCCGCGCCGGCCCTCGTCGTCTTCGTCAGTTCGTGCCGTGCGTCGCGTCGTGTCTTGCTCGCGTCGTGCTGTCGGGTCGTTGTCGTGTCGTGTCGTCTCGTGCTGTCGCCCTTGCCCCCAATCGGTCGTCGCGTTCGCTTCCGTTCGGGTTCCGCTGCTTCCTGGCGTTCTCTCTCCCCTCCCTCTTGTTTGCCCTTCCTCTTCTTCCGCTCTCCTTTTTCTTCCCTGCCAACTGGCTTTTCCTTCTCCCTCGTCCCTGCTTCACTTTGGTTTCGTCCCGTTCCCGGCTTCGCCCTTTCCCTCCCTCCCCGGATTTGTCCCCCTTTGCCAGCAGGCCTGGACGCCCCCGCAAGCGCCCTTGCGCGCCGCTCCGCTGCGCTTGCGAATCAGACGTAGCACGCCCCCCTGGCACGCTATAGGCGTTCACCAGAGGACCTGGAGGACCTCAGACGCTTGCGAGCGGACCCGACTGCACCGGTCTGCGCCTGCGGTGCGACCCGCGGCGGCAAAAAGGAGGAGGAGGAGGAGGAAGAGGAAGTGGAGTGGACTGGACGCCATGACGTTGTCATATCTGATACTACAACACACGTGTCCTGAGCTCGGCGGAGACACGAGACGACATGGATGAGCACGCACACGCACTGGGAGAATGATTCCACGAGATACCATGAATGACAAACACAATCTCGCAGAAGAAAGCGAATGTGAAACATCACAGCCCAACCAGGAAATACTGCAAGCAGCCCAACCCACACATGGAAGCCACCACCAAGCAAGAGACAATGTGAAAATTTCACGGCCCACCGCTCGGGAGCAGCATTGACATAAGACTCAGGCAAAGCCCTTCACCTTATTGGACGCACCTTATGTTCCTCGGCACCTTTCCGCACGTGGGATACGTCTCCACCGCGTGAACAATTGAATGCCCCGCCCGTGGTGTACAACACAAACGCGGAGAAGCCGAACCCGTTTTTCACCAAGACACTCTGCACGATGAACGGGGAAATGACGACCCAGATGACAATAGCACACAGCTGGCCCAATGCGGCAAAGTACCTGAGAACGCGCCGACGGGCCGCGGAGACAATACGATGCAAGCCCAAGCGGCACGCTAGCCCATTACGGCATGATAGGTGACAGCATGCCGAGGGGACCGCGTGTTGCTCCAGCCAAACACCTGCTTGCTGCCACCGTCCGCCCTTTTCGCACGTGCTGGTCCAAGCGTTGTAGCAGATGGGTGGGGGGCGGCTCGCGCGGCGCCTTGGCATCTCGCCCAGCAGCGGCTTTCCACTGCTTCTGTCCACCATTCCCGCCCTTGCTGATCCGAGCATTGTAGCTGATGACAATCGAGCCAGGCTTCTGTTCCCACATCGCTGTCGGCAACGGCTGAGCAGTCCGCATCTGCTCGCCCTTCTCGCATGCGCCAAAACCAGCACATTAGAAGATGAGGTCGAGATTCGGTGCCCACAGCCAAGCTCCCTGCTGCCACTGCCCGACCTTCTCGCACGTACTGCGCATGAACGTTTCTCCAGATTCTCCTCGATCTAGCCAACCCGACAGCCTAGGCTCGCCAGCCTGGGCGGCGGGTGCCACTCAAGCGCCACAGTGAGGCATCGAGGAACGACTGAAGGCCTACCCGATGGAGCCAAAACCACAACGGAAGCCCTCGAGCCGCATGTTCTTGAGGGAGGAGGAAGAGGAAGAGGAGGAGGAGGAGGAGGAGAAGGAGCCGACCACAGAGAAAGATTCGACTTAACTCGACATGCAAACGAAAAGGGAGGGGGCTACGCGGGAAGGGGTCGGGAGGAGGAGGAGGACGAGGAGAGAGGAGAGAGGAGGGAGGAGGGAGCTGGTAACAGGGAGCAGGTGGGGAGGTCACAGAGGAAGGAGGAGCATGGAGGAGCAGGGAGGAGGAGGAAGGAGAGGGAGGAGGGAGGAGATTCGCCGGAGATTCGCCGATTTGCACCACGTGCGCCCCTCGCCCCTCATCCTCACACGCTGTGGTCAGGCTCAGAAGCTCCAGGGGCCAGAACGCCAACGCTGGACAAAACTGCGCGGGCCACATCTGGAGCCCCTTGGGGGCAGTGGTGACGTCCCGCCGAGAGGTGAGGAGTCGCGAAGAGGGAGGAGGGGGAAAATGATTGGAAAAGGAGGATGGAGGAGGGAGGCATTGGGACGACGACGACGACGACCACCACAACCACCACAACCACGACGACGCCTACCACAACAACCACGACAACGACGACGACGACAACGAGGGCGACGACAACAACGACGAAGACAACGACGAAGACGACGAAGACGACGAAGACGACGACGGCGACGACGGCGACGACAACCGCGACGACGAGAACGACGACGACGACGACGACGACGAGAACGACGACGACGACGACGACGACGACAACGACGACGACGACCACGACCACGACCACGACCACCACACCCACGACCACGACCACCATGACGACCCCCAGGAGCTCCCGGGCCTGCTTGGGGCCTTCTTGGGAGGACCCGATCCGCGCTTGGCCGCGTCCTTCTTGCGGCGGCCGTCGGTCATCTGCGCGGCCTCCTCCTCCTCCCTCAGCTCCTGGGGGGGAGAAGGAAGGAGACCGGAGGAGGGCCAGTACGCTGCGGCGCGCCGGCTCGTCGACCACGACGCCGGGATGCCTCAACGAACGAAGGCGGGATGCCTTCAGGCATGGAGAAGGCACAAGCTGTGAGGGCAGCCGACCACCAAAGAATATGGAAGGCCCTCGGAGGGAGGAGGGAGGAGGACGAGGAGGAGGAGCGGGGAAGAGGGGTGGAGTAGGAGGGGGAGCAGGAGAAGGCAAGAAGGAGGAAAAACGAGGGAGGAGGGGGTGGGGAGGATCGGGGGTCGAAGTTTGGGATACGATTGGCCCGTCAGGGTGTTATAGAAGCTCCTGGGTTCGGAACACCTCCTACTCCTCGACGAAATCCACATCGTCCTCCCTCTCCTCCTCCTCCTCCTCCTCCTCTTCCTCCTCCTCCTCCTCCTCCTCCTCCTCTTCCTCCTCCTCCTCCTCCTCCTCCTCCTCCTCCTCCTCCTCCTCATCATCATCATCATCATCATCATCATCATCAGCATCATCATCATCATCATCATCATCATCATCATCATCATCATCATCATCATCATCATCATCATCATCATCATCATCATCATCATTATCATCACAATCTTATGACTAGTATTACTCTTCACATGTATATTCATATTCATATGATTCTTCATCATCATCAGCAGCATCATCATCTTCAGCAGCATCATCATCGTTGCCACGCCATCATCATCAGCAGCAGCATCATCGACAGCACCATCATCATCATCATCATCATCATCATCATCATCGTCATCATCATCAGCATCATCATCAGCAGCATCATCTTCATCATGATCAGCATCATAATCATAATCATCATCGTCGCCATCGCCAACATAACCACCACCATCACCATCACCATCACCATGACCATCATGATCGACACCGTCATCATCACAAGCATCATCGTCATCATCATCAGCATCATCAGCATCAGCAGCATCATCATCATCATCAGCATCAGCATCATCATCATCATCGTCGCCGTCATCAGCATCATCAGCATTATCATCGTCATCGTCGTCGTCATCGTCATCATCATCATCATCAGCAGCAGCGTCGGCATCAGCTTCAGCAGCAGCATCATCATCACCACCACCACGATCATCAGCATCAGCACCATCATCAGCATCATCATCAGCAGCATCAGCATCATCATCAGCATCATCAGCAGCATCAGCATCATCAGTAGCATCATCGTCATCATCAGCAGCATCATCATCATCATCATGATCATCATCATCATCATCATCATCATCATCATCTTCATCAGCAGCAGCATCATCATAAGCATCAGCATCATCACCATCATCATCGTCAGCCTGCACATCGACAGACTCATGGGAAAACTCCTGAAACGCATGATCATCATCTGTATCCTCATCCCCCTCCTTGTACCGATATCGATCACCCTATCACCATCACCATCATCGAGGCTACCACCACAACCATCAACATGACCATCATCATAATCATCATCACCATCATCATTATCACCATTATTATTCCTCGCATCCAAAGTGGGGTTCTTGTTTGCTCTGGACACCCCGCGCAGAAACACACAGGAACACACACTCGCTCACACTCACATGCAATCACACACAGACCATCCTGATCACCTTGACCATCACTCAATCACACACTCACTCACCCACTCACTCATCATCTGCATCATCCTCATCATCATCATCACTCATTCAATCATTCACTCATTCACTCACTCACTCACCCACTCAGTCGCTAGCTTGAATATGGGGGGAGTATCAGGCGGGAGCCTCGTCTGTGAGTGAACTGTGAGAAAATCTCAGGCGAGAGCCCTTTCCATATAGGACCCGCACTTCATGTTTTGAATCCGAACGGGTCATCCTCATCCCTGTAACTGTCCTCATGTTTGGGTTCCTGAGGCCTGAATATGGGGGAAATATCAGGCAGGAGGCTCGTCTGTGAGTGTGAGGAAGTCTCAAGCGGGAGCCCCCTCCCTATGGAGCCCGCATTTCATACTCTTAATCCAAACGGGTCGCCCTCATCCGTGTAACTGTCGTCATTCTGGGACTCTTCAGGCCTGAATATGGAGGAAGTATCAGGCGGGAGGCTCGTCTGTGAGTGAACTATGAGAAAAACTCAAGCGGGAGCCCCCTCCGTATGGGGCCCGCATTTCATGTTTTTAATCCGAACGGGTCATCCTCATCCCCGTACTTGTCCTCATTTTGGGGCTCCCGAAGCCTGAATATGGAGGAAGTATGAGGCGGGGAGCCTCGTCTGTGAGTGAACTGTGACGAAGTCTCAGGCGGTAGCCCCCTCTCTATGCGTTCTTCAAAAGGCGATCCGCCCGACCCATCAGGCGAAGAGGAAGAGGAGGAACAGGAGGTGAGGCCGACGACGGCGGCCGGGCGCAGGGGAAACCCTTGCGTCCGGGCTGGGGGTGGTAACCCATCCTCGGTCGAAGCGGGGGCAGGGGGAAACCATTGTCTCCGGGCTGGCGGTGGTAGCCCATCGTCAGCCGAATCGGGGGCAGGGGGGAACTCTTGTCTCCGGGCTGGCGGTGGTAACCCATTGTCAGCCGAATCGGGCGCAGGGAGAAACGCTTGCGTCCGGGCCGGGGGTGGTAACCCATCCTCGGCCGAATCGGGGGCAGGGGGGAACCTTTGTCTCCGGACTGGCGGTGGCAACCCATCGTCAGCCGAATCGGGCGCAGGGAGACACCCTTACGTCCGGGCTGGCGGTGGCAATCCATCGTATGCCGAATCGGGCGCAGCGGTGAACCCTTGCGTCCGGGCTGCGGGTGCTAACCCATCTTCGGCCGAATCGGGCGCATGGGGAAACCCTTGCGTCCGGGGCGTGGAAGAGGAGGTGGAAGAGGGCCAAGCAAAGGCCGAGGAGGAGGAGGATAGGATAGGATAGGGTAGAATAGGATAGGATATTATAAAATAGGATAGGATAAGATAGGATAGGATACGATAGGATAGGATAGGATTAGGACCGTGGGGCGACTGCTCCGTGCCACTCCACACACTGCGCACACACTACGCATGCAAATATGACGATTAGCAACAAAAAAACGCCTGGATTCTGTTCGTTGCAAGACTTGTCTCGATACCGCGCGTGCTGGTCGGCGCCCACACGGGGCCGGCACGGGCCTGGAGGCGGACCCCACGTCTGGCAGCCTGCGGCTGCCACCGTAGGCACCGCTTGCAAGCATCACGACCTGCCTGGACGATGCCGCCCCTTACCCTGGCCCTTCTGGCGATTTCGCCGAAGGGAGAAAACTGGAACTGGGAAACCAACGGCATCAACATTCGAAGTCTGAGAGTAGGAAGAGCGAGGCTCAAGACCAAGAGGAGGGCCGATCAAAGTGGGGTTGAGGACCGGGGGGGCTGAAGGAGTAGCCTGGCCTGAAATCCGCCTGGCCGCATCCTCATTCAGAAGCCCCCTTTTCAAAGCAACTGTTGAGCGCTTTCGCTCCACATCAAAGAAATATGCGAAAGGCAGCCATCACTTCTGGAACTCACTTCACTAGATCCAAGAGCCTCTGGGCCTCCCGAAACAAGGCTCCTCCGGGCGCTCCTCCAATCGTTTTGACCCCGCCCTGCTCCACGAGCGCCTGGCGGATGGACCCGAGCAGGTCCACCGAGCCCTTCGCGTTCTGGTCGATCAAGAACTGGATCTCGGCCTGCTCCTCCTGATGGCCGTTCTTCGACTTGAGCCGCTTGACGCGGCAGTGGCGGACCATCTCGCTCAGCTCCGTCGGGTCGCCGAAGACAACAACCTTCTCCCAGTAGTCCTTGACCGCCACCCTCGACGGTTTGAGCTCGCCGTTGTCGAAGGCCTCGCTCTCGCCCATGACGCCCCTGATCGTCGCCCCGAATGCGCGCAGAAAGGGCGCCACCATCTTCGGTTTCGCGCACGGGGCGCCGCCCTTGGCCACTGGCTTCGCGGCCCCCCGACGCGATTGGGCCTCCGCGTTGAAGGCCGCCACCCCTGCCAGCATGCGCTGGGCCACCTCGGCGTTGAGCGGCAGCAAGTACGCGTCGTAGATCGCGCCGATGAGCGCGCGCAACTCCGCCTCGTCTGCGAGCGCCAGCTTGGCGAGCACCACCACCAACTCGTCTATCGTCTGCTTCCTGTTCGGCTTGTGCCCTGCCAGCTGCCACCCCCGCCCCCCGCCGCCGCCGCTCGCCCGCGCCCCCCCCACCCGCGCCCACTTGGCCGCGGGAGGGCCGTTCGAAGCCTTCGCCATCCACGCGGAGGCCTTCGACGGAGCCCCCGCCGTCCGCTCCGCCTTCGCAAAGCTCGTCAGGATACTAATGCCGCCGCCGATCGTGCACCCTGAAGGCTCGAGGTAAATGACTGCAGACAAGCTGTTAAAAATCTGGGAGCGCGGATGCACGATGGCCACATAATAAACACTGAAGTGCATCCGGTGCCTGGCGAAGTCCCCGAGGGCGCCCCCCCCCCCCACCCCACCCCACCGAAATAGCAACAGCCACGAACCATTGACCCCGCCAAGTGACGGACGGCTGTAACTTCACCGCTAAAGAGTTCGAAACAGTTTGGAGATTAACTGCCAACGCAGAAAACATGACCCAATGACCGCAGATGATGGCGAAGTCGAACACGGTTGAGAGCCGATTTCTTGTCCCCGAGTCCGGCGTCACATCTGACTCTCCCCCCAGTCGGTATCCCATCCTCGCCTTGCTCCTCCTAGCACGCCCCGCATATCCACTTGACCCCGCCCCCCACCCCCCTCCTCATTCACCTCCGTCTCCGGAGCCTGTCCAGGAGAGAACGATACTCAGGTGGAGGAACGTTGATGGCATGGCGACGACGTCGGAGCTGGGCGACACCTGTCGCAGAATTCCCTGCCGAGCGCGCGACCCCACCACGAGGCGAGGAAGGAGCCCTGCAGACGAGTCAGCAATGTCTCACCCTCCTCCAAGACCTGCAGCGACTCCACACCTGAGTGAAA